GCTTGATGTCATCCATGAACTTGCTGAGGGTGTACTCGATGCCATCATCTGTGTCACTGATAAAGATGTTGAAGAGATGTGTACCATATGAACTTTGCAAAGTTATTGCATATCCCTTCCCCTCAGAACATCGGTATATGATGTTAAGGCTTTGTCCCTCAGTGCATCAGACAGAGAAAGATCAGCCCCTTACAGTGAGGTAAATTCATTTTTGGACTATTTTTCAGTCTCCAAGGCAAGTGTTGAACCGATGTCTTGAGCCATTTGGGGGCAGCACAGACGTGTAATCATGAAACAGTTTGAGCTTCTCCCTACCTTAACAGCAAGTCAGCCCTGTGGAGGCAGAAGAAGGTGCCTTATCACTACATGATCCATGGCAGATGTGCTTTGGCCCATGTGGGGAAGAAACGTTATTTGAGAAGAAAGCTACATCTTTCAACACAGCAGGAACTAAAATAAGATGTTAACAGGCTCCTTACGTCAGCTACCCAGCAACTACAAAGAATTAGATCTTTTCTGAAAATCTTCCTGACAACAGCACCTGCTGAGATTTGGAAATTCCTCAGTTATCTTATTCTAATGCAGGCACAGCCTGCTCCTGCATCCTGATTTACAGTTGCAGTACAAAAAGCCAATCTCACAGTGTTTAATCACACACGTAATCCTTCTGCTGCAACTGAGTTTGAATAACAACTTGTAACCAATCAACAGGGGCTAAAATTTAGCAGGAAACAATTGCTCAGAATGGAGAGCCCTTGTGAAACAAAAATGATGGCATCTCTGCAAGTGATTGTGTAAGCTGGAAATAGTTGTCGGATATTACCTAGAACTGTCCTTTGTGATAGAACATACTAAGCTTGCTCTCACAAGTGGTCTCAGAGTCCAGCAGAAATTGGCTACTAGACATGTGTATCAAAGATAAATTTCCATCCTGTCTGAAGACATTCCAGGCTAAGTTACTCAGTAGTTTGGGCTAGATGATCTGAGATATCCCTCTGGTCCTAAAAATCTAGGAAACTTTGCTTCAGTCAGAAAGTTATTATTCTCCTGACTGTTTCTTTGGCTGAAATTTTTACTCTATGACTTATATCAAATGCAGTTAGAACTGTTTCTCTTGTGAGTGTGGCTTCATATTCACAGTCCAACACAAGGAACTGCAAGAATTGTGTTGTCAGATCTCCATCCTTGAGGATGCTAAAAAAATGGACAGGACAAAGTCCTGGGCTGTCTGCTATAACTGCAGAATTGAGTCTGTTTTGAACAACAACTCCCAGAGGTCCCTCCCAAATTAAGTTATTTTTGGATTTCGTGACTCTACGGTTTAGTCTTTTAGGAATTCAGACTTGAATTCGGTTAGAGAATATATAGCCAGTTTACAAACAGAAAGAACAATTTTGGGGTAAACAGGTTGTCTAATATATGCCTTGTGTATTGACACCAGTGGAGCTGCCTCATTCTGGAAGGAAAGCTCATCAGGACTGACAGCTAAACCATTGCAAAATGAGAAAAGAAAAACAATTCAATTCCAAGAGAAGGCTGAGAGTCTAATGTTGCTAAGCAAGTAAAATAACAACAGTAGTCAACAATTTGTCTAGTAATTCTTCTGCACAGAGAAAAGCTAGACTTTCTACTGAAGGGATTATGATTTTGTTTGTATAAAATTCTGTGCCTAAATTAAGCTGCTTATTTATACGAAGTGAACAGTCTTGCTCAACCCTCTCCCCAAAGGACCAGTGTGCCTGAGATTAATTTATTTGAGTTGAAAAATTTAAGGTTTTAATTCTTAGCTTTGAATCCTCTCCCATGAGCTTAGGATTCACTGCTATGGTTATACCCATCAACTTGTTGAACCATCAGTGTACAGCTTGCTCTTGGCTGTGTATGAACTTCAAATCTACGCAGGGGATCAGCTCAAAGTCTGTAAATTTCCATGTGAGTACTCATGTTCCCAGTGTACACTGCAGAAATACTGAAAGAAACCTGCAAAGGTCTAAGGCGTACATATGGATGCCAAGTGAAGGGGCTGGTTATGGGCAGTATGCTTTTTGTAGTAAAATGTGCAGTTATCCAAGAATTCCTATGAAGTGGCTATATTAATGAGCTTTATTCTGTTATTCAGAGAAAGTGTAACTTTTTTTAACTTAAATTTTGGTAGTGATCCTGTTAAAGTCAATTAAGCCTGTGTTTATGTTTTTTTTTTTTAATGATTATATCTACTGATTAATGAAATATGTTCTAAAGCTAGACTTCCTAATCACGGCAATAACTGCTTTGCAATTTAAATGTCAATTCATAACAAATCACTGTCACATTTTACTGCCTACATGAACCAATTGAGACTGGATGCATTCCAGGGCCCAAAGCCATATTCGGAATGTATTTAAGCTGCTTTCTAATGACACCTGATGTTTTACCAGTTGTGGAAAGCTTCTGCTAAATTATGAGTCAGCATTCTTGTTCTTTACTATACTCCAAAAAAATTGAACGCGATTAAGATATAGATGTTTGTGCTGTAGGAACTAATTTGCTAAGGGCAAACTTAACAGCCTGGTGGCTGAATGCTTTAGTGATGTGCTCTGGCAAATACATCAGAAACCAATTCTTTTCTTGAGATTTTAGGACTTACAGCACACTCAGATATCAGATATCTGTAAGGGGGTGATGTGATTCTTTTCTTCCCTGTTGTCTTTGGTAGTGCAGTGGATAGAGTAAGAAAATTTACCTGGCCTTTCCCAGGTAATTTACCTTTGCAATCCAATGCTAAGAAAAAAAATGCTGTTTGCACAAGTTCTTAGCGTGATTCAGAGTCATGAGGAATTTTTGCCCAGTATCTCTATTTCAGCATACCTGAGTTCCCTGTGCATTCTCTCTCTGCATATCTGTTGAAGCAACCCAAATTCAGCAGTGAATTGACCACAGATATTATTGCTTTGTTTCTGCTTAATTTCTAACAGAATAATCTGAAACAGTGCACATGTGAGGAAATGTGAGTGCACACATACATGCCTGCGTGCATATACATCATGTGGTTACAATCACTTCCTCAAATTAACACACCTTTTCCTTCACTGTGTTGTAATTCATTTTTTATTCAGGCCTTCCTATATTGTGCCCATATCTAAAGTTGAATTAACAGGACTGCACTGGAGAAAGGGTTTCAAAGAGCCTGATTTTCTGTGCATCACACCACACAGAACTGGCTGAGCTCAGAATACCCTGTGCATGGAAAGGATTTTGCCATGGTTGCTTTGTAATTCTGCATCACAATATACGCCAGATGTTTCTTGTTTTGAGAACAGTCATTGGAACAGTGAAATGAAGGGGTAGAAAGGAACAGAGGTCACTCAAAATGCGCAGCTAAAAAGATCTGCCATGATAATCATTTATTCCCAGTAGGTGAAGGATGGGAGAAACATGTTTTGGGAAAAGCAACTCATATAGTTGAAAGGGAATTAATTCCAAGCTTGTGCAGGCATACTACAGAAATATCTCTGTTGGTGATTGTTCTGCACAGATGCCATTCTTGATTTGTGAATACCCAGCACCAGGGACTGGGAAAGTATCTCGTATTGACTCATGCATTCCTTCATGGGTTATTCATAAATAACTGGTGCTATCTAATTCTGACTAACAAAAATACCTTATGTAAAATTAATAGAAGCAAACTCAGAAGGATCTTTCTGCATTAAAAACCTGTCCCTCAAAAGCAGTTGGCTGATAAAGTCTAAAAAGACATTCCTGGCTATTCAAAGTTCCTGCTAAGGGAAAATGCAGAGCACTTACACATATGAACTACCAACCTTTCATTTGTTGTTTCTGTGGACATACATGAGGAACAATACTTTGAGTAGGGAGACTCAGATCATTTTTCTCACTCTATAAAATGTAGAAGCTACTGAGTCATTACAACATTTGTTTCTTTTTACTTTTATGTATTTTACAAGAAACATTAAAGCACACAGAATGCCTGTGAGCTTTGCTTTATGTTAACAGTATGGATGTTCAGAGTACCTCTGAGAAAACTGAGGGAAAACAGTTGGGCTGAAATAAAAGTGTGTATAACAAATTGGCACATTTCTGGGTGAAGGGGAATGAAAAGAGAAGACCTCTCATCTTGACTGTATCTTGTTCATGAAGAAAACAAAGCCTAAACAAGATGTTGAAGAAAGTGGAGGTGTTCAAGAAACGTGTAGATGTGGCAATGAGGGACACAGTTTAGTGATATCATGGTGTTGGTGGTTGGACTAGACGATCTTAGTAGTCTTTACCAAGCTTAATGAGTCTCTAACTCTGTGATTCTCTGATTTTATGACTTGCCCAGAAATAAACAGTCAACTCCATGCCCAGACTGACACTTATCCTGAAGAAACTGTTTTTAATTGAGATTCAGCTCAGTTCTTAGCTGGATGATGAAAAAAAGAAGTTTAAACCAAATAGTATCTTAACTAATTCCATTCACTAATGAGATATTACTGGAAAAAAAACAACCACAAACCAAAAAACAGTCTCACCAACCTTCTCACTCATCACTTGCATCTCCCTATTAGGCAAGGTATGAGGTAAGCAGCTAGTCATTTCCTGAGTCCTAATAGTCAAACTCAGATATCTTGTGACTCAGAGGAAGAGCTGAATCCCCTCATGAAAGGCCACAGCATTCTGGTGACTTTGCATTCAAATAAGGTGAATGAAGTCTAAAGCAATGCAAATTTTCCAGCAGCACAGTCATAGGAACATGACTTAGAGTTCTCAGCTACAACAAGAAAACTGCTTATTATTTGATGTTGTTGGCATTAAAGGTAATTATACTTAACAGTGCAAGAACAAAAAAAAAAAAAAAAAAAAGGAAAAAAAGCATGTGGAAGGTCAAACCACATTCATTAAGGTTTCAGAAAGTGTGTTTAGGCTCAGTTCAAAACAAAAGTCTAATGACATACTTAAAAATGATGTAAATTTCAGTTTGTTCTGATTTAAATATCCATGATGGTGTTCTGCATCATAACTCCTATAGCTGTTGTCTCTAGAGAGTAATTTTCCAAGGCTTCAGGACAGGAGTGGTGCAACCAATTGATTTTTTCAGCTCTTCAACTAACCTGAAAAATTGAGATTAACATCAGTTGCACTCACAGCCAAATGGCATCGCTTTCCCACTCATTCAAACAATAGACAAAATGATTGCAGAGTAAAATTCATTAGGATTTAAATCTTTGTCCAACCCTAAATGCAATGTTTTCCCTTGGTCTTGTGATCTTTGTTTTAAAAGGCTTAGGATTCAGTGTTTAATGTTTTCATAGAATCACAGAGTTATTTGAGTTTAAAAGTCATTTAGTACAATTTCCGTGCAATGAACAGGGACCAATCACCTCCTCCTGGAAATGAAGTCACCTGCTGAGTTTTAATCCTATGTCCAAATATATATGCCTCCTTATACCTTTGTCTTACCTGCATTTTCAGGGTAGTGAAGTACTTACTTTCTCACCCCAAATTGCCAGTTCTCTTCAGCATGGCCAAGAGCCCTTCATACACAGCTGTGGCTCTCTCATTATTATGGCTTCAACCCAGATTGTCTTGTTCTGTCCTCCGAGTGTCTCTCCTAAACACCTTTTGGGAAAATGAAGACATCCTGACAGCTTTCAAGAGTTCCTGAGTTACTGAGTAACTTCAAGAGTTACTCTTACTTACCATCATACTGTGATGCTTTTGTGGCAGTTTCCTTTTAAGAAAGGGACAGCCTTGGGCATAGCTGGCAGAGGAAGATGTTTTCCAGAGAAGTAGGTCTGATGAACTTTGGGTTATCTTGGCAAAGACTTTGAAGCAGTACTTCAATCAAGCCATTATCCAAGACATCTGGAATATGGGAAACAGACCAGAAGACTGGAAAAGAACATTATGAAGTTCCTATCATGAAAAAAAGGGGGCAAGGAGCTGAATTATAGAATGGCTTGGGTTGGAAGGGACCCCAAGGGTCATCCCGTTCCAACTCCCTGCCCAAGCAGGGCCACCAACCTTCAAAAGTTTTATTTTTAAATAAAATAAAAACAAACAATAACATAATCAACAACAAACCAGCAATCAAAAGTCTCCCAGCTTAGTTCATTTCTTGGAAAAACACTGGAACATAACGAGCTAAAATGAAACTGTCTATAAACTGCTAAGGCAGGAGTGAGTAACTGTCAATGCAGATTAGTCAGAGAAAACTATTTCAAACCAATGTACATAAAGAGCTAAGGAAACATTAGTATTATACTGTATAGATAACCTTGCTAAAAATGAAAATGTTGACTGTTCGTTTTCATAAAGGAAGAGGTTTCTGAAGATTGACGGTGCTGTGTTTTGTGTCTTTTAGTACTGCTTGTGTGGTGGAAGAGGGAATATGGATATTAACTTGGCCTATAAAGCAAATTGTGAGAGACTGTGAGAAAAACTCAGAATCCAAAATAAACTTGGCAAATTGAGAAAGTGGTCTGTGAGAGAAAAAGGATGCAATTTAATTAGGACAGGTGTAAAATACCATGCAGGCAGTAACACTTAAGTAAATACAGAATTGGGAACAACAAGGTGGGTCAGCAGAGATATGGTGCTTTACATAATTTCCAGATATGATCTGGAGTATGACACTGAACCTCCAGAAAAATCACACACACAGATGTGAGTGTGCAGGGGGTCAGCAGTGGGACTGCTATCTGTGACTGTTCTTCTGTCACACTGAAAACCTGTACTTTCAACAACGCTAACATGCCGACACTTCAGCTGGATTTGTAGAGTGATCCATTTTAAGCACTGATGCAATGATACAGCAGGAAACACTCCAATTGTTGGAATGACACAAATAGTTGTTATTTTGATGGCTGCAGATTTCCACGGGGAATAAAACACTACCACATTCATGTTGTGGGTTTTTGCTTTTCACCTTGTCCAAGCTATGTTAAATGTAATGTTGCCAGGTGCCAGCATGCAAGAGAACTTGAGATCTGGATTGCTGCAAAGTAACAGAGCAGCCCATGCAGCATTAACTCCAGTCTCAACAGAGGCTGCTTGGAGGACCAGACATGTTCCACTCCCTTTACCCCAGCTACTGGTAAGAAATTCTAGAACCATAGAATCATAGAATCATTAACATTGGAAAAGATCACTAAGATCATCTAGCCCAGCCACAGCCCATCCCCATGGTGCCCACTAACCATGTCTCTCAGTGCTACATCTACATGGCTCCACCACCTCCTTGGGCAGCCTGTTACAAAGTATTGTCACTCTTTCTGAGAAGAGGCTTTTCTAATATCTAACCTTAATCGCTCATCAGCAGAGGATTGTGGTGAACAACTGTATTTGTAACACTTTGAACCACATAAATTTAACTGTAACTGTCATAATATATTATTACATATCCTTTGCACTGGACAGCAGCACACCTTCCATAGTATTGGATTTACCTCTGAGCAATAACCTTCCTAGCTGCTTGCTTTGGAGATGCTGTGACGCACTGATGCCACCCATTGTCTTCAAACATTGCCACCCTAAGAAGCTACAAACACTGCATAGACATGAAACCAGATGTCTTGTCTAGTCCAAGTTACTCTCTGAATTTTTCAGCCTACTGCTGTTTTTGTTTGTCTCTATGCAGAAATGATCCCTGAATATTTTACTGATGCATATATAGCTAGCAGAGGGAGTACTGTAATCAAATCTGATAACATGAAATAAGTAAGAACTCCTGAGAGCAATAGACTTAATTTGCTGACAATGGACTAGATGATAAAATGCTGCAGCAGCAATGAGAAGTGAGGAATCTAAAGAAGATAACATCTATTTATAGTCACTCATGAGAAAAATGGCAGAAAGATTGGGTAGCACAGAACCTACAGCTAGAGATTTCGGTGTTAGCAAAGGTTTTAGGAAAATGCAGCTTGTGTTAACATGCAATAGTTCAATGAATCCTAAATCATTAAGACTGGAAAAATTACTAGGATCATCTATTCCAACCATCAAACCATGTCTGTGACTGCACTACACCATGTCTCTCGGTGCCACATCCACACAGTTCTTGAGCATCTCCAGGGACAGTGACTGCACCATCTCCCTGAGCAGCCTGTGCCTGTGCCTCACTGCTCTTTCTGAGACAATTTTTTTTCCTAATATTCAACCTGAACATCCCCTGGCACAGGTTGAGGCTATTCCTTCTCTTCCTATCACTGTTACCTGGATGAAGAGGCCAGCTCCCACCTTGCCACAACCTCCTCTCAGATCGTTGTAGAGAGTGATAACAAAGCCTAGGTGTGCTATTCTTTTCTCACCATTGCTGAAAAGTCCAGGAAAAAAAGGCCACGTTATTGAAAAGATCAGTAACATGGTAAAGTTTCCTTGTGTTGTAAAAAAATTCTATATGAAGTGTAACTCAAATCATTCGCAGCAGGGAAAATCAGAGTGAGATTCAGGTGTTAGCCTGTGGCAAGAGTCTCTCAATGATTTCACAGGAGACTCTTGTCCTCTGGGGAATATGGTAGAGGGAATAAACACAGATATCTGATTTGTTACATGCTCTATTTTTATGACATTTTTTCCAGACTTTTTTTAAGTGGACATAGAAATGAAACTGGCAATTACCCAGCATAATGGTAAATGAAGTTAGATGCCCACTGATTGCAGAAATATGCTGCTAGCTGAGTGACAAAAGGCAGCTGAGCCATGAAATAATGGAGCAGACAAAGAGCTAAGTGAAAAGGACAGAACAGTAGTTGCAAGCATTTTAGCTGCTCTGTGACAGGGTGAGGTATGTGAACTAGAGCAAGGAGAGCTGGAGGATATATTTGGGGAACTATTATTTTTGAATGCAATGCAAAATATCCAATGACAGAGAAAGAAGTTGCACTTCAATGCAATAGAAGATAATTCAGACAGTAACAGAGGTCTAATGAGGTGAAGCTGAAGAAAGCTATTAAGGCAGATGCTTATGTGATGACTTTTGTCAACTTGTCAACTTCTTGTATGACTCTGAACAAAAAAAAAAAAAATAAAAAAATAAAAAAAAGGAAGTAGAAAATATCTTTTTGATTTGAAAGGTTTCCTAGACTAGTCCAAAACTGGAACTCAATGTTAGAATGAAAAATAAGATACTTGCTGTGATATTTGAGATTTTAATGAGTGTAGGACAAGCTCAGCTGAATTGGCTGTATCTAATCAAGGTACCAAGTGTAGATTTAGAGTTTATCCCAGCCAATTAATGTGTCTAAAACAGAGCTTGTGCAGACTATGTTAGGATTTTAAGATTGATGAATAGCAATCAGACTTGAACAAGTGTTCATAAGTTCTGATGGTTTAGATGACTAAAGCCAAAAGTCTCTGGAATACCCCAGTTTTATTCTCCTTGGGGAAATCAGAAATAGGGCTCAAAATGGGAAAATGAAGCTTTGTCAATTGTTTGGAATAACGGTTTTGCATCTGAAACACAAGTACAAATAAAATAGACCACAGAAGCTTGAGATATGAAGATATAATGAAAGAAAAGCAGAGTATATTTACTCTCTATTGTAGCCATCTACCAAAGCTTGATGTTTGCTTCTATCATACACCTTTCATTCCTGACAGTACCATCGAAACACATGGAGAAAGATATGTTTAAAGCTCAGGAGAAAATCCAGCTCAGGCTGGATTTTTTGAAACTTCAGAAAGATCACACTGAGCAAAGACTGAATCAACATAACAAGGGATTTTCAGATCCTCCAGCAGCACCCAGTCTCCTGACCAGGGACTAAACAGAATAAATAGGCCTCTTCAATGGACACATCACATACTGTTTGAATTGTCATCCTTCAGCCTCTTTTCTGCTGTAGCAAATTGAAAGTCTCTGCTTCTTCAGAAAGATTGCATTCCCATTCAGCATGCTTGTTGCAGAGGCAGGAAGGCATCACAGCATGCCAAGGAGCAGTTCACTTCTATTAAATGCATTTATAATTTTGTATTATCCTTGCTATGCCAAGAGCTCCCATTCATGGCTTCATACACAATGTCCTGACTAACCTTACCTTAGTTTCTCTTGCCTACTGAATGTTTTTCACTTCATATACATAATTAAAGATCTTCATGATGCATAAATCTCACATCTCTCCCTCCAAACACCAAAGAATTTTTTTTACTTATTAGATGAATCCACCCTAGAATACGGTCTTACATATTTTGTTGGGAGCACTCAGGTCAAAAGAGAAGAACAACTCAAAACTTGCTGAAGAACATTTCTAAAGGCTTTCCCGAACCAAGGTCACATTTCTCAATCTCTAATTCATTATTTTAAATCATAACTGAAGCCAACAGAAACCAAATGTTTCTGTGGAGGAAGAGTGCCATAAGAGGAGAGAATGGGTTAGGAGCTGACTTGTCTGTAACGTTGTCTTTTCAAACGTATATGTGTTTTTTAATACATAAAATTAAGTACTGTTACATACATACAATACATAAAATTGTGTTACTAGCTTTGGAAACTGCACCTGTTTTTCTTTTAAAAGCTCACAATGCACCTTTGATCTGCAAAAAAAAAGAAAAATAGAGCAACAGTACAGTTGTGTTTAGGTAGGTGTCTTCTAATTGTGAGTTTCAGGCTTTTGTTTGTATAACATTGCTCTTCTAAACTGTAGCCCTGCACTGTATGGATGGTTTCATTCATCTTATTCTTTAAGACATAAGATTTGTGATGTATGTCCCTGCTGAAATGGCTCTCCTCTCTCTACCCAGTCACATCACTC